CAGCTGTCTGAGACGAGGTCACCCTGACCTGCTCGCACACTGTCAGTTCCTGATTTCTGTTAGCTGCATTATTTTAGAATCAACCCCCTCCTTTCATCATGCCCTGCTTTAAGCTATATTCTCCTTTTCCTCTATTCATTGTATGTTCTTTATAATTCTATTGAATCCCACAATTCCCCCTTTTGGTCTCCGCAAGGAGATCACCTTTAGCGGCGTGGAAGTACAATATCTGGAGGAGGACTGTTTTCTCCCCCCCCTTCCTGACGGGCAGGAGAGGCATCATCTGCGCATAGGTATTGTTCCGTTTCTCTATCACCGTGGTAATGAGACAAACTGACAATGTGCGCAGACAGGGAATGCGGGTCTTGCTGTAAGTAACTAAGATTGCAGCAAAAGTAGCAATGGATAATAAAAGCGAGCCCATTAAGCCTTTCCACTGTCCGAACACAGAGGTCAGCCAAGCATCCCAGATGTTATTGATCCCGGAGTGCGCATGCATCGTTTTGGAGAGGGTCTGGAGACCCTCGAGTGCCCTGGTCACTGAGCCATCTGGTGCTGTGTTATTAGGAATGTAAGTACAGCATACTTCCCCAAACATAGCGCACACTCCCCCCTTTAGGACTCCAAAGAGTTCCACACACAATCCTGTCCATCCCGCCTAGGAAGGAGGGCAAAAACCCTGAGCTTCAGGGAAATCCCTCTCCCAGCCCGCCACAGGCGCGGCCCCCCTTCGGGGTCCATGGCAGGCATGGCTCACAAACTACTAACACAGAGAATCAACCAACAGCAGCTCAGGGGGTACAGCAGGACTACAAAATCTACTACAAACTCAATATGAAAACAGATATATGTACTACAACAATAACTAAAAGATTAACTAATGACATTGCAGGCTAATATAACAGAGACTCCGTCGTGAGCAGAAGAATCCCAGATGTCGTGGGAGGTAGGCATGCTGCAGGTCTCCCGCTTGGAGTATTCACGGGCAGTACGGCCGAGCTTCAGCTCTGGGCAGGACCGCATCCAAGGTGTCTGTGTCGCCATCCATTCCCGTGTTGGTCCTGGAGGATGCCGCTCCAAACGGTCCTCCCACCACCCTAGATATTGCAGCTACAGTCGCCTGCCGGGACAGTGCTCTCCCCACTAGGGGGCGAACAAGAGGAACTACACAAAAAAAAATTAGTAACAGAGCAACTGCCCCACATTTTATACCACCAGTCAAACATTCCTGGGTGTTGACCTGCATCTCTTGCCATCTCATCCTGTAACCCCTGCAATTTATCACTTTGAGGTGTACATCTCCTGGGGAGATGAGTGGTTTGTCCTGTGTCTATATCTTCCTTTCCTGTCTTCCTGCTTTAGAATAACTTTGCATATTTGAGTTAGACACCCCATGTACAACTTCAACTCATAAACCTTGTTTTTTTTCTCATTGCACTCCCCCCTTCTGCAATGGTCAAGACCATACGCATGCATTATTAAGGTGTCAACCACACGATAAAGACACAACCAAAAATCCATCCCGGTTGTGAAACAGACCATCAGAGTCCTTAGCATTCCCCTTTGTTTCCACACAGAGGCCTCATAAGGGCCCCTCCCGTGGCTGAACTCACCCCCCAAGCATGCAGCCTGTTCTTATCAGTTTTGCAACTCAGCTTTGGGCACCTTAAGCCCCCCTTTCGCTAAGACCTTCAGCAACGGCGGCTTCAGTGCCTGTGTATATCACACAGAGCAGATCACCCACATACTGTAGCACCGTGCTTAACTTTCTCTAGGGTCAGTCGGTAATTCGGGTGAACTTCCTCCTCTACCGTGACCATGTATTTGGACACCACGTACCCTGCGACCCTCTTCGCTTCCTCATCTGCGGCCTTCCCTTCGCTACCATTGCTCCTGACCCTTCATGTCCCCTGCACTTTACCACTGCCACTTTTTTGGGAAGCATCAAGGCTTCTGCCAGCATTTCACTTCTGCTTCATGTTTTATTGGCTTGTTTCCCGCGGTCAAGAATCCTGCCCTCAGCCATTGGCTGAGTTCCACATGCACTGCGCCTACAGCATATGCTGAATCTGAGTATATGGTAACTTCTTTCCCTTCTGCTAATTTCAGGGCCTCGATAACTGCTATCACCTCGGCTCTCTGGGCTGACTGGGCTCCTTCCAGTCTTTCTACCTTCAAGGTCACATAGTCCTGGCCTTATCCGGCCCCCACTGCATATCCTGCCTGCAAACCTCCTGTGTCTGTTCTAAAACAACACCCATCTGTGAACCAATCCTCTGTCTCCACTATTTTTCCTGCCCCTAAGTCTGGTCGGACTTTCTCCTCCTTCTGAACTCGGTACTCACACTTGTGTGGTTCTCCCCCGCTCATGTGGTCTGCCATGTTGATCCCTTCGTGAGAAAAATTCATGGTTAGGTGCCTCTAGTATTTTACTAAGTCTCTGCTGCCTGAGTGACATCATGGTAAACGTCTGTGAATTCACATAAGCCACCACACTGTGCGAGGTCAGGATGTGCAGCGGGTGTCCCATCACTATGTGTGCTGTTTTCTGAATAATTTTGGCCACTCCCACCGCGTGCCTTGTGCATGAGGGGTGTCTTTTTTCTGCAGTGTCGAGTTTTATGCTGACGTACATCAGCACTCTCCTTTCTCCCCTTTTTTCTGAAACAGGATGGCGTTAACAACGTCTCCTGTTTCAGAAACATCCAAATGAAACGGGAGAGAGTAATCTGGGAGGGCTAGGTCCGCGGCCTGTGCTAGCCTCTGCTTTAAGGTGATAAACGCCTCCTCAGATGCTTGGTCCCAGTTAAGGGGCGCACTGAGGTTACGTAGGCCGTGTTCTCGGACAAGAGCCCTCAGGGGCTGTGTGAGCCCCGTGTAATCTGGAGTGTAGGTGCGACTGTAACCTGTGAGCCCTAGGAAAGATAACATGTCTTTTACCGTGATGGGCTTTGGGTAATGCAAGATAGCCGACCGATGAGCTGGGGAGAGGCCTGTTCCTGCCCCTAACCGCACTCGTCCTCGGAGGGTCACTGCTGTCCTAGCAATCTGCAATTTGTCCTTACTGACCGTAAAACCTTTTTCTAACAGACGGATTAGACCTACATCTGTGGGGCTGGTAGACCACATGGAGTCTGGCAGAGACGCCAGAAGGGCCGCCGCCCTTGGGTGGTCCATCTTTTCACGCCCATGGTCTCTGGCTATCTGCTCATGTTGCAGGAGGGCCGTGTCCTGTGCTGCGACCTGTATGCAATATGTACTGCAGGAGGGCGAGAAGGAGACCTGTGGGATCTGGGTCTGTACCCAGTCCTCAGTTTCTCTGGCCTGTTCCACCATCGGGCCCAAATCCTTGGCCTGGTGTTTGGGATGGAGGGCCAGAGAAATGTGTGGGACAGCTTCCTGTCCCATCATGAACCAGGGCAGCTGTTCTGAGGTCAGCAGCGTGGCTGAGGCTACCCCTTCGGGACCCACATATAAGTTCTCAGAGGCAACTTGCCACTGTTGGCCTTCTAGTTGCTCAGCAAACAGTTCCTCATACCAATCAGTACTATCCCTATCGTAGGAAAGGGTCACATGAGGAGGGTCAGGTGGGGGCACATAGGGCTCCAGGAGCGAGATCCAGGGCCGCCACGCTGAGTAGGCCGACAGGATGCCAGTCAGGCTGGGTTCCAGTAGGCCCCAATAGATATCTGCCAGGGCCTGACTGTGGACCGGCTGCACCAGCCACTGCCCCGAGCCCGTAGTCCGGGTGTCGCACCGCAGGCGAGTGCCTTCCGGCAAGGTAACCACCAGTCCGTCTGCACAACACAGGATGGAGGCCCCCAGCGTCACCAGCATATCCCGTCCCAAGAGATTCACTGGAATGGAAGAAGACACCACGAAGGAGTCTCTGTTCCTCCCCCGAGAAGCCCACAACGGTCACTGTTGAGGTAGACAGATGGTGTTGTTCAGGGATCACGTTAAGAGTGGAATACGTGGCTCCCGTGTCTACCAGAAATGGCAGTTTTTTGTCCATGACCATGAGAGACAGCATAGGGTCTGCCTCCCCTGCGTCCCGGGCCGCTCGCGGGAACCGTCACTGAGCGGAGGAGGGGTCCCAGTCCCACTCCCCTTCGCCCATCGCCGGATACGGTCCTTCCGTGTGGGTTGGGGCCATCACCTGGTTCCTAGGAGGGCCTCTCTTGTCGCGCCCCTTGACCGAGACCGGTGCTGGGCAATGCCTGGCCCAGTGTCCTTCCGCCCCACACCTAAAACAGGCACCTGACTGCGGTCCCCTTTGCAGCACGCCCCTTCCCCAGCCCCGGCCCCTGTGACCCCAGCCCAAACCGCCTCCTCCCCTTCCCCATTGCTGGCCCGACCCTCCCTGTTGGTAGGTGGGTGGCCCGTTCCAAGGGCCGGGCGGGTATGTAGGTGGTCCCTCTGGGGAAACCCCCGCCCCCATCTGCTTTTCTTGCCCTTTCTTTTTAGCTTCAATAGCCTTTCGCCTCGCTTCGCCCACCTGCAGCTTCAGCAGCTGTGTCTGCAGTGCCCTAAGGTCGCTCTCTTCCTTATTTGCTTCCTCTTTTGCCCTCTGCAAATGGTTCGCTATGTACCGGTCCCACACTTCTGAGTCTGCTCCTGGGAGATCTGGGTTGCCCAGTATAGCTGCCCTCACTCCCTCTGGGACTCCCTCGATCACTGCCCATCTAAACCATTCCCGCTGCACCCCTGCCTGCCCCGGATGGCACCCGGTTCGCCGGGTCCAATCCTCTTTACATTTATCCAAATATTCTCTAGGGTGAACCTTAGGGTCCCATGTAAACTTTGGAACGGCTGCCCCACTAGGGGCGGGGAACATCTCCCTCATGGCGTCACCTAGGACCATTATCACTGCCTTCAGACGCACACTATCTGCGCATGTAGTAACTTCTGCTCTGGCTTCTAGGTCTTGTAAGGAATGCTTAGTCATGCTCCGGGCTGCCACCGCCCGGAAATCCCCTAGGGCCAGTGTCATACCCTGAGTAAGTTGATCTAACTTATTCATCCACTGCCCCCCCCCCTCTGCCGGGGGAGGCATTTTATCTGCCAGATCCTGCACATCTCCTATGGTGAAAGTTTTGTATCTTTCCCTATCACCTCCTGGTCCTGCCTTACTAGCGGCTTCCACACCGCATTTTCCCGGGGGCGCCCATCCCCCGTCATCCAGCTCCCGATCAAACTTGCGGTCCATTTCCAAATTGCCCTGACTGTTTTGATCCCTCGTCTAACCACCCTTCTGCCTCCGGGTGTTGACTTACTCACCCACACTTAGTACACCTGTTTATTGTCGTGGAATGACCTACTATCAAACACCACCAATACATAAAACAACAACTTTATAAACAAGAAGACTGCATTTAGATGTAACTCACGGTTGTGTCTCCCCTGAAAAGGGCACGTCTCACAAGCTCAATCCCAGTCAAACCGGCCCGCTCCCTGCCGACACCCCCCCCGGTCCCCAGCAATGCCAACTTGGAAGGGGGTGTTCTGATAAACTGTAAGACCGCGAGCAGCGACAGCAGAGCCGCGGGCAAATTCAACCAACAGAGAGCGAATGGCGAGCACCCTGGACAGGAAGAACCCACAACTTTGCTCACACACAAATCAGCACACTCGCACACAAAGTGGTATTTTGAGACTCCTAGTCTCGGGATTCCAACCCGGTACTTTTGGGATTTTAACCCAGGGACTCCAACCCGGTATCTGAGGGCTCTATACCTCGGGACTCCAACACGTTTTAGAGAGGAGGACCTTATTCCCTCTTGCCAAACTAGAATTCGGGGGACCTGAATTCCCCGGGCCTCTAACCCAGCTTTTCTACCGCTCGTCAGCAAGTAGTGGGGTTGCCGTACCCTCCGCTCCTTAAAGTTCTACTTCCTCACACACGATGCCTGCACACAATCCCTGAACACAATGCACACACAACACATAGACACACTACATATACAACATGTGAACCTGGTATATGCAACCCCTCCTTCGTGTTAATTTACCGACGGGCCACTGGACACTTCAAACTGCTCAATTTGACATAACCAATATGCAGATTTTGATATAACAGACTCTGCTTACCTCTTCGAGTCGGCGCCTCGCAGTCCTCTGTGTCCAAGTTGGCTGCGTCAACACTTAGCCGAATCTTGCGAATCTCCTGGTCATCCCGGACGAGCCCCCAAATTGTTGGAGTAAGCCGTCTCCACCGAGTCCGTGGATGAGAAGAGATTCACAGCTGAGACGAGGAGAAGTTGCAGGTCACCAGTTTATTCTCTGACAGATTGCAATCCGGGAGCGACTGTCTGACATACATTCAGCATGTACAGGAAGAAGCTCGAACCATAGTTGTCGGCTCTGTCTCTTTATAGGTGTTCCCCCCCCTTCTCGGTACTTTTCCATCTATGTGATGATCTCCTTGCGGAGATCAAAAGGGGGAAATTGAGGGGTTAATTGTACAATTATGCAGCTACTAATTTCTAATAAAATAGCGTCTAAAATATTGTAGATAGCAGAAAGAGGAACTGATACTAGGCCTGCATGATGGAAAGATCTCACCCACGCAGCTGGAGAGAATCAAGAACTGATAGGGTGCACAAACAGGAGCCCATCATCTAACCGACACTTATTTTAACCTAGTGCTAGACAAAAGCGGGGACATGCACCCGCTGGCTAATGGACTTGCTGGCAAACTAGAGCAAAGGTCAAAACATGTTGTAGTCACGTACACGGGAAAGTACCGAGAAGAGGGGGGGTGACACCCCGGAAGGCCTATAAAGAGACAGAGCCGATACATATGGTTGAAGCTTCTTCCTGTACATGCTGAATGTATGTCAGATCAGGTCGCTCCCTGATTGCAATCAGAATAGACAATAAACTGGTGACTTGCAACTACTCCTCCACTGTGCAGTGAATCTCTTCTCATCAACGGACCCGGCAGAGTTCGACTCCAACAGTGACTACAACATATTTTGACATTTGCTCTAGTTAGTCAGTGAGTACATGTCCCCCCCCCTTTATGTTAAGCAAAAGTTAAAATAAGTATCGCTTATATGATGTGTTCCTGTTTTCCAGCTGTCTGGGACGAGGTCACTCTGCCCTGCTCCCACACTGTCAGTTCCTGATTTCTGTTATCTGCATTATTTTACAATCAACCCCCTCCTTTCATCATGGCTATATTCTCCTTTTCCTCTATTCATTGTATGTTCTTTAAAATTATATTGAATCCCACAAAAGACACAGTCATAAACACAAATCAGGAATAATTATATAAAGGAAAATACTTATGTATGGCTGGAAGACGGCTGATTTCAAACAGTAAGCAGAACCTTATGTCTCCTTCGGCAGATCTGATACAGCTCAGCTGCATTTCATTGGTGTAGTAACATAATTCAAGACGTGTTCTGCGTTTGTCTCGCGGTTGTTGTCTTTACCTTAGTATCTCCTCCTTTGATAGCATTGTCGGTATGTATTTCATGTATTAGCATTTTATCTGTTATAGGTGAAAGATATTTTAGCGTTTTGTATTTCTCAGCGTTCTCAGCTTGTTTTGTCTGCTTACGGTACTTTGGCTAAACGGTAATAAGCCTTATCATTTTATAGCAAGTGCTGATATACAGTAAAACTGGTCTAAGTCGCCGGCTTGTAACTCGTCAATGTGCACAAGTCGACGCTCAAACAAAAGTCCCGATTTTTCCTAATGATGTTTCCTTTAAAATTCCTTGTGTAAATCGCCGCTTGTAAGTCGATAAATTCCCTTAGTCGTCACATAAATCCCGGTCCCGAACAACACAAATGAATGGATTTTCCTACCTGTAAAGCGGGTTTCAGACCGAACGCGGCATGCGCTGCGCTCGCTGCGGGGTTTGGGCTTCCTCCGAAAAAACAGCGAGTGCGCTTAACGCGCCGCGCTTGCCGCGAGGCTCAGCGGAAGAAGTAGGCGTGGTTTTCTAAACTCTCCTGTTTTGTTGTTGTCCCGTCCCGCGGTCAGTCACGACAATGTATAAAAGAAAAGCACTAGCTCTGTTAGCACTGAAGGGATGTTCAGCTTGGAATGCAACTAATAATTTTATAATCAGATGGCCTTTAACCCAATGAAGAAACTAGACATGGGAGCCGATACTAGGGCAAGGGGGCTGTACACCAAGCAGTTGGAAGAAATCAGGAACTGACAGAGGGTGGTTATGGCAAGACGACCTTGCTCTGGCAAAACAGGAACTCATAAATTAGCCGATGCTTATATTAACCTTGCTTGACATAAAGGGAGGGGGCACGTGTACTCACTAACTAGAACAGAAGTCACAATATGTTGTAATCACATAGATGGAAAAATACAGAAGAAGGGGGGGGGGGGCACACCCCAAAAAGCCTATAAAAATCTAGAACCAACCCATGAGGGTCGAGCACCTTCCTGTACATGCTGAATGTATGTCGGGTGTTTGCTCCCAGATTGCAATCTGTGAGAGAATAAACTGGTAACTTGCAACTACTCCTCGACTGTGCAGTGAATCTCTTCTCATCAACGGACCCGGCGGAGTTCTGACTCCAACAGCACCAAGAAAGAATAGGCTGTGGGTGCATGAGACCCTCATATCCAGAGAGCACCTTGGGGAATTCAGGCTGGTAAAGGAGCTGAGGTAGCCTGGGGACTGGAGGGTCTATTCTGTGAGGATGGGGACATATTGTAGGAGGTGGTCCTCCCCCTGACATAAGGCTCCAGGAAGCTCATGATTGTTAAGTACTTCCAAATTATTTTCTGCTCTGCCCCTTGTTGGAGTCGAACTCCGCCGGGTCCGTTGATGAGAAGAGATTCACAGCACAGTCGAGGAGTAGTTGCAAGTCACCAGTTTATTCTCTATTCAGATTGCAATCAGGGAGCGACCATCTGACATACATTCAGCATGTACAGTAAGAAGCTCGAACCATAGCTGTCGGCTCTGGATCTTTATAGGCCTTTTGGGGTGTGCCCCCCCTTTTCTGTACTTTTCCATCTATGTGACTACAACATATTTCGACATTTGTTCTAGGTAGCCAGCAAGTACATATTCCCCCCCCCCCTTAATATTGTGCAACAGTTTAAAATAAGCATTGGTTATCTGATGGATTCTTATCCTCCTGGGTGTCTGGTACGAGGTGATCTTGACCTTGTTCTCTTGCTATCAATTCTTGATGTCTTCCTCCCTTATGAAGTGAGATCACCACATTCTGCAGGCCTTGCATCAGTTCCCATTTCTAATGTCTGCATTATATTATACACTGTGTTATTAGAAATTAGTACATTAGTATTTGGATTATTGTATGATTATTTGGATTATTGTATAATTAACCCCTCAATTTCCCCCTTTTGATCTCTGCTAGGAGATCACCCTGATTATCGATAATGATTAGCAAAATTTTGCTTCCCCCTTTTGATCTCCGCAAGGAGATCACCTTACAGGCGGGAGAGCTCCATCCCCAGAGGAGGACATTCATCCTCCTCCTTCCTGGGAGGCAGGAGAGGCATCATCTGCGCATAGGTGTTATCACGCTTCTCTATCACCGTGGTGATGAGGCGAACTGATAATGCGCGAACACAAGGAATACAGCAACATCCGCAAGTTACTAAAATAGCAGTAAAAGTAGCCATGGATAATAGTAGCGAAGTTATCAAGCCTTTCCATTGTCCGAACGCGGAGGTCAGCCAGTCATCCCAGATGTTATTAATCCTGGAGTGATCATGCATCGTTTTGGAGAGGGTCCGAAGACCCTCAAGTGCCCTGGTCACTGAGCCGTCTGGTGCGGTGTTATTGGGGATGAAAGTGCAACACACTTTCCCGAACATGGTGCACACTCCCCCCCTTTTCGGCCAATAACATATCTAGTGCCATCCTATTTTGCACAGCCATGAGGGAAGTCGGACCTAATTGTTCCGCAAGGCCCGGCACGGCGTCTCTAGTTAAATTTAAGAGCCGCAAAACGTTGTAATGAACATAATTAATACGATCCACATTTTTATTGGGGGTGATGGGGAATAGAGCCGCAACAAGGGGAATGTTCTCAAATCCCGCAGCTACCTGATCGGCCAATTTAAACTCATCGGGCACTCCTCTTGGTATTCCTATGGCGTCTATATATGTTGGGGAATCTACCGTGGGATCAAAAGTAAGAGTCCCACATCTGTGCCTAATAAATGTGTGCCTTGGTTGTCCTGTGGTAGGTGGTGGGGGGGTTGTACTAGCCAATATATCGGGACGTTCCCCTATCAGAACTAACGGCGCCCCTAACCTTACCCTGACCGCTGAGAGGCATCCTAACAAGCAGCTTCTCACGGCCACAGAACCAATAGAGGCCAGACCGGGCCATATGTCCAATCAGGGTGTCACCGGAACCGTTATGTATGGTTCTGTGGCACCACTCGCTAGAAATGTCCCCAATTGGTGGACCCGTGCCTGTGAAGGTAAAGCAGAGATACTCTCCTACTCGGGGAATAAATGGTCCTGCTTTAGTCCTAGGGTCGATAGGTGGGAAAAGGGATGCTAAGGTGGTACAGTTTGCTGGGGTGGCTTCTCGGGTCAAGGCTATCATACAGCCGTAGCCCCAGGTGTCTGAGACATGCAATGAGGCCGGCTCTGTGTAGAGCTGGGGTCTGGCAGAGGCGCAGGCCACACAGCCCTCCATCTGCTGTTCTTTCGCTGTCTGGGCAATCCAGGCCAACCAAAGGTTGCCATCCTTGTGCCCAGTGGACAGTCCCAAAATGTCCAAAGGATTTAGCCTGGTATAATCTATTTGAAGCACCCTGGTCCCATTGATGGACGGGGATACGTCAGGCCCTCCCGGGGGCTGTATAACCTCTCTGGGAGGGTCGACAAACCAGATGCGCACTATGCCCCAGGGGTCCTGTCCGGATTGATCAACGCCCACCAGAACGGTCAGCTGGTCCCCTGCCGTTGGGGGATGGTAATACTCTCCCACAGACAGCGCCAGTGGATTAAAGCCCAATTTTCCCGTAGAGGCTACTCTGGAGAAGGTAATGTTAGTCCACCAGTCCCTATTATATACTGGACCAAAGGGCTCCCAGGGCCCAGTATACTTAGCCACCATGTCCCAGTTGCCGCACCCCACGAACCAACGTCTCACCCACTGTTGACCAGTACTGCACCCAGTATGATAGTAATAATCGTAACAAAGCCACACATCATAACCCCGGTATGACGCGTTCTGTTCCTGGCAATCCAGCACGTCACATAAGTCGAACACGAAGGTGGTGGGGGTGCCTCTTATGTACTAAAGCTTCAGAGGCGTCTCTCCCCCTGATCCCACGCACTGGAACTGACTGGCTTCTCCAGCCTGGACAATGGAAAGCAATATAATCATCAGAAATTTAAGCATTACACACAATACATTGGTTCCCCCCACAAGTCCCCTTTTTATCTTGAATCTCTGCATCCTGGTCCTGATGATCTGCGATGGACGAGGTGATGACTTCTTCAACAAGTCAGGGATAGACCACCCTGCTGATCTGCTCAGGTCAAGGGATTATTCTGCCCTTCTGTAGAGACCTGAGTTGCGTCTGGTTCAGCTGAACTGACGCTCGGCGTGTCTTCTCCGAGGTCCTTCTGGATCTCTGTGGTGGTTCTGCCTGGCTCCTCCGCAGCCGCACACTGGCTCCAGTGGAACCAGGTGTCGCCCTTGCCTTTCAGACGAACCGCGTGTGACGTCCTCTCAGTAACTCGGAAGGGGCCGGTCCACCTGGGTTCTGACCACTTCCGTTTGATGACTCTCAGGAGGACCCACTCTGCCGTGCCGGGTCTCGTTTCCTGGATCTGTTTGGAGAAATCTGCAACGAGAACTTGCAAACCATCATAATATGACCTCGGATTTCACTCCCCCTTTTCATCGGGGGTCCAGGATAACCCTCTCTGGGGTCCTGGGAACTGCCTGCCTGTCTGGTGAGGGGTTAAGCATATAATCACTTACTAATTCTATAACAATGTAGCTAATAGGGGTTAATCATCTAATATCTACTAAGAACGTAGCTAATAGAGTAGTATCTAACATAATGTAGACAGTAGACATGGGAACCGATGTTAGGCCGGCAGGATGGGGTGATCTCACCCCATGCAGTTTGGAAAAATCAGGAACTGACAGCATGCCAGCAGGTCTGGACGATCTTGCATGAGATAGCAGGAAAACAGGAACCCAACATACAATGGACACTTTTTTTCGGTTATGCTTAACAAAAAGGGGGGAAACATACACACACTGACTAATTGGAACAAAAGTCAAAATATGTTGTGATCACGTAGGTGGAAAGTACCGAGAGGGGGGGGGGCAGCACCCTAGAAGGCCAATAAAAGGGACAGAACTGACACCGAGGGTTCGAGCATCTTGTACATGCTGATTGTATATTGGATAGTTGCTCCCAGATTGCAATCTGTTAGAGAATAAACTGTGACTTGCAACAACTCCTCGACTGTGCTGTGAATCTCTTCTCATCAACGGACCCGGCGGGGCTTTGACTCCAACACAACACACTGTAATCAGTGCATGATCCTTACCTCTTTGTTATAATAGGTTTATCAATGGTGTATTAATAAACCTGTTATAATTTGTATTTTTTGTCTCTTTTTTTAGTTTCACTTTCTCTTAATAAATCAGGTTTTAAACACACTTGGTTTGTTGACTGCGGGAAGTATTTTAGCTGCTGTCAAGCTGCACCACGGGACATAGTGTAGTGAGGACAGAACGAAGGTAAAACATCAAAAAATGTGAGGTTAACTACAGATCTCACACCAGCTTCCTCCTAGAGTGACCAGCTCACCACACGGAAACATGTTACATGCACAGCGACCAAAAACAATTATTATGTAACTTATTTTATTTTTAATGTACTGTGTAGGTCTATCTATTTTTCCATATAATCTCCCCCGTAATCAAAAGGGCCGGGCTACTCGCTCACTGGCTATGACATCATTAGTTTAGACGGGGCGGAAATGACGAAACGGCTGCGGAACCGGAAAGCTGGCCATGCTATTAGCTTGCTACCTAACGGCTGCTGTTTAGCTGAGCTTGTTAGCGTGATAGCAGCGGTTGTGCGGATGTCCGATATCAGCGACTCTTCAGGTCAGCTTGTTGCTTTTATGCATACTGTTATTGGGTAGGAAGTAGCAGACGGCATATATTAGCCTGTTTTACTTACCAAATGTGTTTATATATTCCAGCTGGCATGTTGCGGTGTAATTACGGTTTACTGTGTACATAGCTGATTTATCTAATTAGTGTACGATAGTAATCAGGTAACCTGTAGTAAAAAAACGTGTATATTGGCGTATGTTGGTAGCACTGAACAAAAGTTTGTAAGCACAGCACCTGCAGGCAAGTTACTCACTTTAAATGATGCACGTTCTCGTTTTAGTGAGTAGGGTGAAAAGTTCCTCTCGTCCCGCTACATTTACATTTATTTTAAATGATGTTTCCCTCTCCCGGGAAGGGTGACTGTTTCCTGGTACTGCAGCTGAATTCTCAATGAAAATTTAAACATGAGTTCAACTTCGGTTAATTATGAATTACATGTAATTATATTACATTGCATAATATTGTAATGCAATAGCTGTTGAGTGATGAGGTTGTCCGTCTTATTTACTTGGCAGCTAACAATAGCTGTAGAGCTACCAGTTAATTACCCCCGGATCTCTTTATTTGATGGCTTAACGACACATTGATTATTATTATTATTATTTTGCAGATCTAGGACGTTGATGGCTGCGGTGAGCTGAAGAGCAGGACCGGAGTGTATAAATGACAACAGTAGGAAAGACCCCGCCTGGGGCTGACCCGAAACAGCTGGAGCGTACTGGGACCGTGAGGGAGATTGGATCCCAGGCTGTGTGGTCACTGTCCTCCTGCAAGCCAGGTGCGTGAGGCACTCAGCAGGTGGTAATGCATGTGTTCCTGAGTCAGCCCTTGAGTTCCTGCAACTGGTAATGGAACAGGTTTTCTGACAGGCACTGTGAATACGCTCCTAAAGCAAGGTCCTCGCAGACATGCCGAAGCCCTCGGGTCATGCTCCTCTGCTCAGCTCTGGTTTTTCGCAGGGTTTGGCGTCGATCAGCTTCGTGATGACAACCTGGAGACCTACTGGCAGTCGGACGGTTCACAGCCTCACCTGGTCAACATCCAGTTCAGGTGTGGTAGGTCTGGCCATCAGTCTCTGACTGGGTTGTTTTTTGCTTTTAATCTTGTAGGAAACTGGGATTTTTTTTTTAACCTTTTGAAGTGGTAATGCTGGTGTACGTCTTAGAATGGTATTTAATGTGAGTTGAGTCAGTTGTTGTTTTGTGGTTTCTGAAACAATTTTTGGCTTTTTTTGTGTTGGGTTTGACGTCAGTCAATTGGGCAAAGTGATGCAGAATTGCCTTTGCTAAACTGAACTTGGGTGGATGCTGTGATCTGAATTCCTTGAAGCGCTATATTCATTATTTTTAGTCAGCATTTTGGCTTTGAGACCGTCGTGGTGTTTTCACTGCTCGCCAGCCAGATAATGAATGGGGTTCAGTGTAATTCAGCTTTTATGGAAAGGAATAAAATGAAACTAACCATGCAATCAGTGCTGGTCTTAAAGGCAGCCATCCCATAAAAGAGATGACTCTCATCCGTTGCAGAAAGCCACGCAGTAATGAACGGAGTCTTTATATGTTTAGCACTGGTTTTGAACCATAAAGATGATTTCTTAAATATGATTCCAGGAGGAAAACAACAGTGAAGATGCTTTGTATATATGCTGATTACAAATCTGATGAGAGCTACACACCCAGCAAGATCTCTGTCCGCGTCGGACACAATTTTCACAATCTCCAGGAGATCAGGGTAAGGATGCTTATTCTAGTTAGTGCTGCTGCATGCTGACTTGGGAGGCAGGACTCCCTAAGCTTTTCCTTCGTGTGCTGTAATTTAAAAATTTGAATGACTATACACTAGAGGTCAGTCTTGCTTCACAGAAGCACCTACTCGGATAGAAACCCCTTAAACTTTCTAACTGTTCTGTTGTAATGGTTGATCTTTGTTGCAGGAGATTGTCAAGGGCTCAAGGCTCAGACCTGAATTATGTTTAAGGGTTACTCCGGTGCCTCGTCTCTGCTAGGCCTTGCAGCGATAGTTATGTTGTCACGGAGACGGCAGGGTGGTCTTGGAGTGGGAAAGTCGGCAGCTGTCTCCGTACCTGGCGACGGTAGTCACGCTGCGGAGCAGCTTAGTCTGGCCCCCAATTAAAATGGCTACAGGCTGTGTTATCCCAGCATGATCTGCAGCGGTTCAGGCCCCGGCTCGTGTTTGTGCTAACTTATCCACCTTATCATGGGCAGAATTCCCTGCTTTTGCCCTGTACTTGTAATTTTAAAATATGTGTAATTGGGTCCTGTTTCCCTCTTTGCGGTAGTATTGTGAGCAGCTTGAAGAATTTGGCCCTGGATGGTGCTGAAGTCGTAGCCAGAATCTCGAGTACAAATTGGGCCGTGTTATTGTTGCTGTTAACTCCTTTGAGGCGTGGCTGTCTGCTGAGGGCTTAAAAATGATTAGACCACTGACCTAGAGAATAAATTTAAGAATGCATTTAAATTTTATCTGGCTGAAACAAAGAGGATGATTATTTTACCCTTGAAGCAGAGTAAGGACCTCGTACTTTGCCAGAACTACGGTCTTGATGACTGAATTTGTGAAAGCGGTGATGGAGTAGCATTCCAAAAGAGATTAGATCTGGAGTGTTTCCTGTCCTCCAGGGAGTAATCCATGATGACAGGGAACGATGCCGGGTAGAGTCTCGGATAGGCTGGATATCCTTCATGCGGTGTGCATTTCAGGCATGATGCAGGCTCAGAATCTGTTTTTTTTTTTTTTTTTTTTTTTTTTTTTTTTTTTTTTTTTTCACATTCTATTAGGAGAAGTTTTTTTTAATGAGGTTGATGTTTTGGAGATAAGCGGATTCATTTAATGTTCCAAATGCTTTGATGCTTTGCAAGAAAGACAGATTTTACAACT